TGGTTTTCAATTTTTCGTTTTCTCTCATATTATACAGTGATCTTATACTGTACAAATATTTACATACGTGTTCACAATTCACAATTATTGTGTATTTATAATCCATTACATTATAAAACAAAATTAAAAGAAAAAATATTTAAATTTCATAAGCATACTTTTTTTAGTAGGAGAAAATTGCAGATTTCCCGTAATTCTATGTTATTACATTCAGTTAAATCTTTAGTTCTGCATAAACACACACGCACACACTCACCAATTACATACACATACATACGTAAAAATGCATACACACATATAATACGGTATTATAACACACCTTATATACCCATACACTATACCAATAATTATTTTTGTTTTCCTCCTCTTTTTCTTTTTCTGTAACCTTAAAGGAATGAAACAAAAAGTTATAAATTTCAGAAAATTGTAAAAAAAAATATTTAAAAGTGATTTAAAAAAATTTATAAAATAAAGTTTAAAAAAAAAGTATGATGCCCTCTATCGACAATACATTGACCCCTTTAAAGGTCATTGTACCAAAGAGACAAACATGGCCACGGACACGAGTGTGGAAGTGGATTCTGCTGTTGAAATTACGCCTCCTGATACAACGTATACTATAGAAAGTAAGTTTCTTTTATAAATAAAAGCTACATCTTTCAATACAATTCCCTAATTTTATAAAAACGATTTTAATTCTATGTAAAATGTACTCTTAAAATTGATACCCATCCTTACCATATGCTGGCCTGTGATGCGCCACCAACCAAGCCGTGAAGAACCGTTTTTATCGCCACTGTTACTGAACACTGTGACTAGTGCAGCCAACCTAAGCCCTATTATTATATAGGCCTAGCTAGCTAATAGCAGTTCGGTCACGAGAATGTTTGTCTAGTTTCTTTTGATCGTGCGTTATTCTGTATTTAAAATTTTGGACCGCAATAGAAATAATAGGTTTGCCAGTTTCGTTTGTTACTTTGCATTTTGGATTTTATTTTTGTATTGGAAATAAAGATATTATTAAAACAAGATTAATAAATAAGGAATGCTTTTCACAAACAAAGGAATTAATTGATTTAAAATTATATATTTTACTGCTTATGTTTAGTTCTGCAGCTCCTTAAAGAAACCCAACAACAACATGGTCTGCGTCATGGTGATTACCAGAGATACAGGTAAAGCCCGATATTGTCAATGAGAAAAATAAAACATTCAAAATTAATAAATTATATTTTCCTGCACTTCTTGTACATCAGACAGCAAGCACATGCATGCTTCCTGTTACCCATGAGTACTAGAGGTAGGCTTAAAAGTACTTTTAATATTATGACAATTATGAAATAAACAAATGTTCCAATTTTGCCAAAAATCAAATTCCTTTAATACAAAATTTGGATTTATACAATTGTTTTTTAGAGGTTACTGTTCTCGAAGGTTGCGTAGAATGCGCAAATCCCTAAAATTTCTGCAAGGCAGAAGAGGTAAGCCTAAATTTGTAAAACGTGAAATCACAGAAGAAATAATTACAGATGTAAGGTAAGCTTTTCATGATAATTTGTTTTTATTTTTAGGGATTAAAAATTAGTAGTTTTTATCCAACCTGAATTCTATGGTTTTTCTGAATCAACTGTCCCGCAGCTTGTAATTTACACACAAAAAGTACAACTCACTATTCAGACATGTAAAAATATATATTATATTTTCTTATAGGGCATACTACAGTTTCTTACAGATGATTAACAAAATTATTTGACCAAGGTCATTAAAAAGATGCATATGGAACACAACTTTGGTTGGTTTGGAAGTATTCCATATTCTGACCTCCTAGGCACCCTCGCATTCCTTTGTAGACGGTGGCTCAAGGACACAAAAAAGAGGCCAGAGTGGGATTTTAACCTTTGATTGTACAGAGCTTGAATCTAACCACTCCAAAATGAGGCTGTGTAAATCTTGACAGCCATCCACAGAGGATACCCTAAGTTACAGCCTAAAGTTTTAGGATAAGAATTCAGAATGAGAGACTGGATCTATAGCTTAGGAATTAAAAATACTTGCTACTCAATCCCAGGGCTCCTGGTTCAAATCTGGCAAGAGGACATCAGTCTTTCTCTTAGCTAAAAAATCCCGCTTCAAAAGGACTGCCTTTGTTGTAATTTTTTTCTGAAGTTCTAAATGTTTAATTCTCCCTTTAGCAATTGGGCTTGGGCCTAGCAAACCACATTCATTTAAACAATCTTTATTTTAACATTTTTTTAAAAACGTATAGGTTTCTCTACTTACCACTGATTCATGCTGAGAGGGCATGGGGTCATGCCATGCAGTTGAAGCAGGAAGCCAACACAGAGCCTAGGAAAAGATTCCATCTCACCGCTAGGCTATGCAAGGCTGTTAAGTATGCTGAAGAGCTGGAAGTACTATCTCAAAGCTCAAAATGTGATGCTAGATCAAAATTGGAAGCTCAGGTAACTTAAATTTAAGGATATACTTTATAGAAAAAAGAAATTATAAAAATTATATTTGAAATTTACTTGCTCATTTTGAAGTAAACAAAATATTTCAACTTGAGCATAGAAATTAGTGATTTAAAAATGTTTATTCTAGTTTTGAAGCAGTTTTTTTTTAAATACAGGAACTCAACATAAGTCTTGTATTTCTTAATATTCTTGAATTTTTTTCTGATCTTCGGTAGGCTTATCATGCCTGGATGAGAGGAACATTGTTATTTGAGAGAGAGAAGTGGCAAGATTGTATAGAAGCATTTACCACTGCTAAGTATGTTTCTTACCTATGTCTTTATTTTCTTAAAACCTCTGCCAAGGAGGTCCGTCTTTTTGTCAGCAAGATTATGCAAAACCTAATGAATGGATCATGAAATTTAGAGAAAGGTTACATAATAATCAAAGAAATGCACCTTTCAATTTTTGGAAGAAAAGGTCAAGGTCACAGAAATTTGATTTTTGACCCTCAAACATAAAAGAAAACATGCCAGGAAGCACTCAAGTAAACGATGTGCCTGAATACAATGGGCGATTCCATTATTTTCTTGAGGGTAGACTGCAGTTCGCTCATCATAAACAGCCTGCGTATTGTAGTACTGTATTCAGGCACACCCTGTGATATAGTGATTTCTCTAGTTATTGATATGTGATTCCCAATTCCCATAGAGTTGTATTATTAGTAATTAGGAACTACTGCGTATGTTATCTTACAGCTATATTTCCCCCTGCTTTGTATAAACCAAGCTAAAAAAATATATTTAAAATATGTGGAATGTTCATCTTCTTATCTTAATGTATTACTTAAGTTTTATTGTGCGTGAGCGCTTGACACATAGATGAATGTTTAAGGTGATAAAGTTTCTGCCACTTGGACTGTAGGCCTTGATTTCAGACTCGGCTAGGATGTCCATGTTTGAAATGGGTGTATGGCCGATCAGTTCCCTGAATATCGCTCATTAGAGTTAAGTGGATTAAAGGACATTGCTTGTACTTTTTTGTATCCTTACATGTTATTGACACTTCACTACGGTCCCCAGTGCCCAGCAACATTTTTAATTTCCAAGAGGACAAGAAGGAGCATTCTTGAATAGTTTTCAAAGAGCTATTTGTTTTAATTATTATTTTATGGAAAAGAAAAATCTGCATATTTTACCCAAATATTGTCCACAAAATATATTAAATATATTTAAAAAATAAACTTTGTGCAAAATTTATTTATTTACTCCTTATATGTAATATTTGATTTTTAAGAACAATATATGAGAAACTGGCAGGAGCACTGAATGAGGAGCAACGTGCTATTTACGCACAGCGTGTGGAAGAAATAGCGCCAAACATCAGATACTGTGCATACAACATTGGGGATGAGAGTGCCATCAACGACCTTATGCAAATGAGGGTCAAATCTGGAGGAGAGATGTCATCAAATCTTGATGTAAGTACTGTATTATTTTTCCAAACTCTGTACCTGTCTCTTATACACATCTAGATGTGTATATATATATATGTATATATATATATATATATGTATGTATATATATGTGTTTATATATGTATATATAATAGGAATATTCATGTGCTTTGTGATTCTGTACAGATCCTACTTGCTCAAACAAGAGAGAAACAGGCTGCAACTCTGAGCGAGGTGACCTGGCGAGGACGCACAGTTCCAGTAAAATCTGAGCAGATTCGTGGATTCTTTTTAAGTGTTCAGGAGAGCGACAAAGAAGTTGCAGCCGCTGAGGATGTTGAGAGTAAGATTTCTGTGTACGAGAGTCTACTTATGGGATGTAAAGATGCGCTCCAGATACTCAGGGATGAATTGAAAACAGATGCAGTAAGTGTGCAAGAAAGCAGCTAGCTCTGTCAGCTAAACTGGTCATAGCCACTCTATGCGTGCTGAACCATAGATATCTCTTGGTACCTAGTTCAATTCCTATCACTGCGCTCCCGATACGCAGGGATGAATTGAAAACAGATGTGGTAGGGTTGCAAGAGAGCAGCTAGCTCAGTCAGTTAAACTGGTCATAGCCACTATGTACGTGCTAAAACATGGAGATCTCTGGTGCCCAGTTCAATTCCAACCACTGCCCTCCTTGTGTTTCAACCGGAAGGCTGAAATGCAAATTTAAAAAGCGCACCTTTAAGCCTTTGGTCCTGTGTGCAAAATTGCCCATGTGCATATAAAAGTATGCAGTATGCTCTTCGGATAAGAGTAGAGGATTGTCTCCCGGTGTACTGCCCTATTCACCACCAGAGGGATCCCACTGGAAATAAGTCTCCAGACTTTTATGGGTTATCCTTGGTGTGTGTATCACACCAAAGTAATCCAATCCGAATCCCAATAGTTTGTAGAAGCTTACATAAACGACCTGCAGGTCTCACAAGACACAAGTTGCTTCCATAATAGGTAAAACCTGAAATTAAAGGAGATGTTTTTTTTTTTTACTAGAATTTCAAGCAGAGAACTCAACGTGCAGAGAGTCAGGTTTCAGGTCTGCAGTACCTGTACACTTACGTAATGTACATACGCCACACGAAAACCATTGAACGCAATATGCTACTAGCTGAGTCCCTAAAAGAAAACCTTGTTGGTAGTCCAACTTTCACCGAGAACCGCAAAGTTACAAAGCCGCAAGACTTGATTAGGATATATGACATTATACTTCAGGTAATTATGCTTTTTAATAGCTATATTTTTAAATCATTTATTTAATCTTATTGGTTAGCAATAAGAAATAATTAATTAGTTTTTTTCTTTATTATTTTATTAATTTTTAGCTACGACCCTTAGAAAAGACATCAATGTTTTGCACTTATAAAGCATCAAGGAAGTGAAAATATATATAAATCATTGTTGATTTTAAAAATAGTAAAACATTGTTTTATTCATTTTGGTGATGTTTTTTTTTTTCTCCTCAGAGTCTTGGAGAGTTGCCGACGTTACCAGGCCTTGAAAACGATGAAGACATTCAGCTGGAGGTAGAGGCTAAGACCTTGAAGGGCAAAGCATTTAGGTATGTGTTTGATGTTTACTGATAAATTTTCTTTTTATGTGATTTTATTGTAAGATTTTGCTCATTGCTGTGTTTTTTTCTTGAACTACTTCTATAATATCAGTGGTCTAGTGGTTATGACACCAGGCTAGTTATCTGGAGATTGTAGTTCCGATTCCCACCTGAATCACTTGCAAATTTTGTTTGCACATAGTGAGTATTCAGTTCGACAACACATCAGGGAGGGCAAAACATCACTACTATAATATTAATGTAGTTATGCATATTTTAACATAATTTCTGGTGCTATTCATTTAAAGGTGTTTCTATTTGGCGCAGTCGTATGCTTCCGTCAAGAAATGGAGAGAAACATCTGCTCTCTATGAGAGAGTGGTAACATACATCACTGAAGCTGAAGAGACTTTCAAGAAAATTAGGACAAAACCAACGAAAGTAAGCAAATATAACCACAATCAAACAAACAACAAAAGTAAGCAAATATAACCACAATCAAACAATCAGAAAAATTATAAATTTAGATGATTAAGGCTACGTTCAGACGACTTGGAGATAAGCCAGGCTTGAGTTGAGCCCGGCTCAACGCTAAGCCCAGGCTTAACTTTGGCAGGCGTTCAGACTAGCGGGATTAGCCGGGCGCGAGAAACTTCATATAATGAACCGTAACCAGCAAGCTTGTTTCAACAAAACATTGCTCGCAAAATGTACGCTTGCTCACAGCGTAAGTAATTGAATGCTGATTGGTCATTTTGTTACCCGAAGTCAATGCAAGACCCCCCGCAACGATTAAAGCCTGGCTTAGAAAAGTTAAACAAACACAGTTACTATAGGAACGCAGCCCAGCTTGAGATAAGCCACCTAGTTCAGACTGGCAGGTGGATAAACCCGGTGAGTTGAGCCAGGTTTATCCACCTAATCTGAACTATGCCCAAATTGTACTGTTAATATATTGTAGAAAGAAATCTATGAAAAATATATATAATCTTGCACTTTAAGCCTGATTCCATAAAATTGCTATACAATTTTCACTGCCATCGTTTACACAGCTGTCTCCAACGTAGTCATGAAGGCTCCCCAATTCTACTGACCACCTGTCTGTGATAGCGTGAAGCAATTTTGTGGTAACCAGGCCATTTCCAAAGAAAAATTTTGTAGGACCAGATTTATTTTTGTATGTTTTTGTATTTATCCTGCATTGACTATTTTCTGTTTTTAATTTAGGCTGATCTAGACGAACTCAAGGAGCTACTAGAAACTGTGAAAGGACTAAAATATTCTGCGCACGCTTCCTCAATTTTAGGTACAGCTATTGCAATGTTTTTTTTTTCTTTCACATTTTTTTAAACACAGTACAATATATTGAGCATACCATCCCAAAACCAGTGTGTTGTTGCTATATGTTAAACTGTGTGATTAGCATGGCAAATGGTAGTGTTGTATACTTTAGTACAAAGAAGTCATAATACTTTTACTCATAACTTTGGCAATAATAAGTCGATTCCAGTAAATGATCCATCATTTTAAAGCTTATAATGTGGAGAATACGAATATATTAAAGAGTCAATTTTCATTTTTTGCTCACCGATGCTGGGTTTGGGATGGCAAACCTCATATTAGAAAATTTCTCAAGACTAAAAAAACACATAAAAAATGTTTGCGCATCTCGTTTACATTCTAAATGAAAAGTGTTGTAATACTCCGTATCTTTCTGTTACTTTTCACTCCCAGATTCGGAGTTACCAACAGCTAGTCTTGCAAATTTGGAAATATCCGACAGTTGTCCGTTACTAGAGCGACTTGAAAAGTATCAGGAGGAAGAGAGTATATCTGTCAAAAACCCAAACCTGGTGACATTTCCTCCGGATTTCCAACCCACCCCACAGAAGCCAGTCTTCTTCGATATCGCTCTTAATCATGTGGAGTTTCCGTCGCTGGATGAGAAACAGGAACAGAACAAAGGAGCAGGGGGCATCGGTGGTTTCCTCAGGGGTTGGTGGGGTGGAAATAAGTAAATTCATGCATCTGCTGCCTGCAAAGCACTTTGTTCAGTGTTTAACGTCCCCAAGATATTTTTTGGGAGGAATTTTATCTCATTTATGTTTCTGACTCCCTTTCTGTATCTTCTCAGTTTTGTGTCATTTGAGGAAAAATGATGAATTTAACATTGTTTTAAAACCATGTAAATTCCTAATGGTGAATGTTGATTTATGTTTTTCTTTCTTTTTTCTTTTTTTTTTGGCCTCCATTTTAATTTTTCTCTTCACGAAAGATGCATGTATTGACATATTTATTTTGTATAGCCTGAAATTACATTCACTGATAACTGTTCAAGTTTTGGAATGACCAATAGGGTGAAACTATAAACATTTCATCTATGTTATGTTATGTGTTAGATTGGTATACTGCAGTACAGAATACCAGTCTCTGTTCCCTTATATTATCCTCATGATTAGATGCATTGTACAACAGTTGGACAACATGTGCAATTTTCCATTATTGTACATCATTACAGTATTAATGCCAGCAGAACCACAAAAAATATATACATGATCTGTTACAAATTTATTTAACAGGGCAAGAATGTGCGTCAGACTATGATCTCCCAGATTAGTATATTATTGCTTATAAGCAAAAAAATCCCTGTTCCGCTATAGCCAGTATCTGAATGATTCGATAAGGGAGTAAAAATTTATACAAACTATGGTCAGTTTACTAGGATCAGCAGCTCTAGTTACACTATTTATATTAAATCATTACAATATAACCAAACAAATCACCAATTTGTGCTATATAATTAATTTAAATTTTTTAACAATATCTGTAGGGTGTAATGTTTTACAGGTGCTATATTTGGTTGTTATTATATTACTAAAGAAATTATTTTTTAAGTATGTAATTTGCTGCTAAGTGGATCATGCGGCTTCCACTTTAGTGGTACCAGTGGTGGCGCCAGGTTTTGCCAATGTCTCCGATGGAGAACATGAGTAGGGTGGGGCCAGAGAGAACCAATAACCCTGCTGTGTCAAGTGGACAAATTTCCAGCAAACTTTAGAGATTTGCAAATGATTTTTTTTTGTTTTTTCCCCACAGGGGTCCAGCCCCACCCCCTCCCCTGGTGCCGCCACTAGGTAGCATCATTGAGCTACACGTCTATGTGATTATATGTTATGTCGTCATGTATGCTCATGACCTTACAATACTGAATAACAATAAACTCATTTGATTTTATTTCATTCAAACTTCTTATTTGTTGTTTCAATTTGTTTCAAAATCAATTAACCTTTCTGCTAAGCACAGCCCATTACATATTGTTACTAAGATCCGGTATCCCGAAAAACAATAGCGAAAATGTACGTATACACGTGCGTGTGTGGGACTACACAGGTAATATTTGTGTTACGTTATAAGCACGTATTCCTGGCCCTCTTGTTTGGTCAGTTATTAATTTGATTGAATCTTCTGAAAGGTCCATGCTGCTACTACCATCAAGCGCTATTAAAAATTACATTGCACAAAAAATGCATTACATAAAATAAACTCCCAGCGGGAGCGTGTGTCTGTGCCCTATACTGCCTTACTGTATTATGTTTACTAATAGAGTATCCACAGGGAATACGGTTATCCGGAAATGTGTTGTGTTGTATTAGGCAAGCGTGTTTCAACAAAACATTGCTCGCGAAATGTACGCTTGCTCACAGCGTAAGTAATTGAATGCTGATTGGTCATTTTGTTACCCGAAGTCAATGCAAGACCCCCCGCAACGGTTAAAGCCTGGCTTAGAAAAGTTAAACAAACACGTTGGCACGCCAGGCCTAGTTACTATAGGAACACGGCCCAGCTTGAGATAAGCCACCTAGTTCAGACTGGGAGGTGGATAAACCCGGTGAGTTGAGCCGGGTTTATCCACCTAATCTGAACTATGCCCAAATTGTACTGTTAATATATTGTAGAAAGAAATCTATGAAAAATATCTGGCATAACATTATATAATCTTGCAATTTAAGCTTGATTCCATAAAATTGCTACACAATTTTCACTGCCATTGTTTACACAGCTGTCTTCAACGTAATCGTGAAGGCTCCCCGATTCAACTGACCAGCTGTCTGTGATAGCGTGAAGCAATTTTGTGGTAACCAGGCCATTTCCAAAGACAAATTTTGTAGGACCAGATTTTTTTTTGTATGTTCTTGTATTTATCCTGCATTGACTATTGACAGGGAATACGGTTATCCGGAAATGTTTTGTGTTGTATTAGGCCTAATTTTTTTTTTGTATGGTAATAAGGTACTTAAGATAACACATGACGCTTCATTAACCTCCACCGGATTTACCCTTTCCAGGGGCGGATTTAGAGGGGCCGGGTGGCTTCGTGGTCCCTTCTCCTTTTGGAAGGTAAAAAAAAGAAAAAATTATCGCCCAAAAAGCCTGTTTTCAGTCGTCTAGAACACAAACAATTTTGCGTGGCATGCCTCCGGACCCCTTAGGGTTATATTATCTCGTTCGGCTCCAATTTCGAGCTCCGCTTTTGGACAACTCTGGATCCACCCCTGCTTTCAGTCACAACATAGTATCTTTGCTCCCGTGAAAAAGAAAAACAATAAATATATACACAATAAATGTATGGAACCGTATAAAAGGGTAGTTTCAGTTAAGTGTTTTGTTGTGCAGTGTTCAATGACCAGTAACTAGCAGGTATGGGTCTCAAATTGGAACAGTTTTTACGAGAAATGAGCTTTCCCGACTTCTGATGTGTCTTAATAACTTTTATAAGTTCTTCAAAATTCAAGGCTTTCCCTCTTGTGAAAACGGTCAGGTAAATTGTTCTTCTTATTACAGTAAAGGCCTATATAGTGTACCGGTATAAATATACATACAAAAAAATTGAGTAGTTGCATCGTATTCTTTTTTCCATGAATCGATGATCCCCAAAAAGAAAGGGAATCGAGGTCCTCCTTGGTGAAAAAGTTTTGATTTGATTCATTGATGGCGGGAAATGAGCTTTCCTGACTTTCAATTTTCCCATTGAAACAAAAACAATTTCAGCTCACGAGTCATAAAAAGGTAGGTCTAGAACTTTTTTTTAAATTTATTTATTTTATATTTATTTATTTTATTTTAATTTTTGGCACAAGGGGGTCAGTACTGCCGGGACCCCCTGACCCACCCTCAGATCCTTGGTTGGATATTAGTTCCTTGCTTGCTCGGAGGAGTGTGAGACGGTCAAGATTTCCGGGAAACTTACAAGTTGTTGGGACCACTCGGATTCCTCACACCTGTCTCTTATACACATC